GTCAACTTGAGCATATACTATTTCAATGTAAACACTGCTTCATAGTCATATACGTAATAGACTTTCACAGCTCAGGGACTGTAGACCAGGGCAGGGTGGTTGAGCTTTTTGGATTTTCCTTGTAGTATTTCTTTTCTTTAAGTGTGTGCTTTCTGACAATCAGAATCAGAATTAGCATTAGCAACATTTATGTAATGTTATCATTTGAGTTTGGCCCCTTTAGGCAACAAAATAAAATAAATTTTTAAAGAAATATGCACTTACAAATAAATTTTTTAAAGAAAAAATACCAACACGAAAACAACTATCTTCAATCATGACCCCTTTGTCAATTTACAGATTGACATTATTCTACTGATCAAACCCGACTGTTAGAAAGGAAAGCTCAGCATTCCTCTCTGGAGGGCAGCAGGTCTTTAAAGATGGGTTTTCCACGGGTTTGACCCAGTAAATTTCCACTCACGAGCCAGATAGGAATGTGTGACGTTGCTGTGTCCCTACAAGGAAACGGGCATGTTTCACAAAGACTTAGTGATCCTGTGATTATTGATGTCCAGCAGTCATAAAGACATAAATGTGTATTTACTGGCAGTGATGCAATGCAGGTAAGAAGATATCTATCTATGTAGGCCAGTCGTTCCCAAGCCTTCGTAGACCTTTGTTGACGGACGTGTGTGAAACTCCCCTTCATCAATACCACCCATCATGGTCCAAACATGAATATATGAATGAATATAATAAACTGGAAATTAACCATTACTGAAATAAAACTAGATATTGTTCAAATATTTCTCCATACAATTGAACCATTGAACTTAATGCACTCTGTAGATTCTTTAATTTTTCAATCAAGTTTTTTTTAATTAGTTTAGCTGCTCACACATTTTCCATGTATCCCTGGCAACTGCAGATGTTCCCTGGGGTACAAATAGCCCTAGCTGGGAATCAATGATGTATTTTTCTGTGTGCATGGGTCAAAGAGTTTGTGTGTTTATGTGTATATACTGTACTGTATGTGAAAGGTACACTTGTACTTGTAGCCGAGATTACTCTGAGCTTAAATGGGACAGGGGCCACATGACCAGCTAATAAGGGAAAAGCTAAGCAGGTAGAGGAGGACGAGCTGCTGAGTCATGATAAGAGAGCAACAAAGATAGAGAGTGAGACATGCCGGTCGCCTAATGAGAGTGAATAAGTCTGTGAAACAGTGCGTGTAGTTGTTGGCAAAATGTCGCTCCTTTTTGTGCCCGTGTTGAAGAGAGCACTGAGTTTTTGTTAGACTCCGAGACTCGGCTCCATTTATCAACTAGGCCGGTCTCCATTACTCTCTTTGTATACCTTCAACCTGAGTGATTGGGAACGCACACAATCCTTCGTCAGCGCAGAATTAGGCAGCTATTTGTGGAGCTGCTGGCTTAGCGCTGGCTGTTAACAAGCCCACGTACTATTCATATGCCTGACACAGCAACTCCTCTCTCCCACAGAGATTACACACACATACACCAGCATAACCACCAGTATCAACATCAGACCGCATGCAAGTCTACTTTAGGCTGAGCAAAACATATAGTTAAAGAGCTGAGCCACCAATGATTACATTTATCTCAGAGGGAAACAAGAGGAAGTGGAAGATAAAAGCTTGCAATGACATGTGAGGGTGTGTGACGGAAACATTCTGCATATTCACAAAAAGACACTTAGATAAAGAAAAGAGGCGCTATGTGAATATCAACAATATGCAAAGCTAAATGTGCAAAGTAAGTTTTAGAGTTGCAGTGATGTTGTCAGTGCTGAGGAAAGAGTAAACCTGTCAGGAGTCACATACACAGGAGTTTATATGTGTGTGTGTGTGTGTGTGTGTGTGTGTGTGTGTCACTGTGTGAGGCGGAGCTGTAAGTGGTGAACCTGACAGCAGTCACATAACCAATCTGCACACAGGATGACCAGCTGGAGCCAAGACAGTCAGTCTGCCCATGATTCAGACTTGAGGAAATACCACATTCAGCTGGCAAATGCACAGCGGGTGTGTGTGTGTGTGTGTGTGAGTGTGAGTGTAGGTGTGTGAGTGTAGGTGTGTGAGTGAGTGTGAGTGTGTGTGTGTGTGTGTGTGTGTGTGAGTGATTGGGAAAGAGACAGAAAGAGGAGGAGAGGAAAAAGGATCTAGAATGGCAAATGTTCAGCTCATTTGAAGGGTGATTTATGTCAATAATCCGTTAGCATGAAGCTTAAACAGCAGTCTTGAAAAGACACTGCCAATTTCAAATCTAAAAACATAAAAAACACATGTCCCATGTACCAAGGCATGTACCAAGGCTGAATCCTGCAGCAGCCATAGGTTTGAATCTTTACCCCCCTCTCCCTCTTCCTGTACATGTTTAGCTGTCCTATCCAATGAAGGCAACAAGCCCAATAAATATATATTAAAAAAAACTTTATGATTGTGATGTCAGCTGTCACTGGAGCAGTCACACCACCATCTGTAAATGTTTCACTCATGAATGGCTCCTTTATCCCCACAATACACTGACCTGATGATGGCACTGTAGTGGGTCATCAGAATAGTTTGTAATCATCTTATAGAGGACCATGAATCATCTGGGAATTCAAAAAATGTACAAATACTGTATATTTACTTTCAAATGAACATATCTCCAATTTCACAAGTTCTGCAAACATTGCATAAGTTTTCTCTGTAATGTGTAATGTTCACTTCTCTGGCATTTGCAAAGCAGGAAGCAGTAAAATAATCAGATCATTCACTTATGGAAAGTGGTGGAAACGTCACCGAAGACCTTTGCCTTTCAATACCAGCTGCTTTATTCTACAACACTGTGTTAGCTATTGTGCCAATGGTTGTGAAAGTTTTTGACTTTTGACCATTAAAACTGAGGTGATGCCTGGATGATCCTGGCCCCTGACTGATAACCACACACACAACATCCCAGGGTGCAATTCTAAACACTATGCCATACTTCATGTAGTGTGTTTGTGTGGCTGCACCGGCAGCTGATATGTCTGGTGTTTCACATTAAAATTCAAATGTATTCAAACCAGCAGTATGCCAGAAGGTCAGTGAGTACACTGCAGCAGCACTGCTGTGTTGGTTCGCAGTCATGTGAAAACTGGTACAAACATCTGGATATAATGAACATTTTTTCCGGTCTAGGCCTCATTATGTTTGCTTCAGACAGCAATTTGGTTGTAAAAAGGTAGTTCAAGTAAAAATTTAAGTACAGTTTGCACTTTACACAAAATCCTCAACTGTGTGAGGTACCATGCTAACGTCAGCATGCTAACATGTTCACAGTGACAATGGTAACATGCTAATGTTTAGCAGTAAAGGTTCGATTTGGCCCACCAGCAGACAGCTTTAGATGTATAGCATTAAATTTAATATAAAATCAAAAAAATGTCTTTAATTAAGTAGGATTCCCTACATATTCTAACTCCTGCGTTACATCAAAAATTAAGTTGCTACAATTCACGGTGAAGGAGACAGAGATGTATGAAATTTTATGGCAATCCTCAAAACCACATGGATTCTGTTTTCCAATCCATTTGAATCTTTACAGGTGGACCACATGCATCCCATTAAAGCTGACGTGTGTTTTGCAATTTGAAGAAAACGTAGAAGTTATTAATACCTGCGGTGCTTTTGTAACCCACTGGCAGCCACATTTTTCTGCATCTTTGTATCATTTCAGAAACAATGTAGATTTCATTCCAAAATTCTTTTGTGACGTTATCATCAGTCAATATTTTCACCAAGCATTCTGTCCTGAAAAGTATTTTTTTAATCTGCCATGGAACTCAAATGTATCACTGCTACAATAACCTCATTTTGTGCTCAATCTTGTTGGAGAGAGAGAATCCTTTTATTATCCATTCTGATGCAATTTCACAGCAACATCCTAAATGTACCCAGTCACGATTAGTCTGATAAGCAGCATGTGACTCACACTGTGTGACTCACTATTATTGTGTGATTTTGTGAATGGGTGAGATAGTGAAGGCAATGGAGCCAGAGCACGCTGTGTACACAGTAGATTAGCTCCATAAATGGAAACACAAAGTGTAGACGTAATATTAATGTTTGACAATAAGAATGAGCAAACAACAAACTGTATATTTTCCTGGAGCTAATTTATTGGTCCAGCAGATGCAAAATCAACTGTACAACATACTGTCCTCTCATGCATAATCCTCTGATTAAAACAAAGTGCCTTCGCTCCAAGCAGTCATTCAAAACTACATAAAAATAAATAAGGAATATAATAAAACAAGTTTTTACAAAAAAAACATTTCAAGTATCTCAAGCAAACATGTTAACAAAAGTTTTACCGAGAGAGGTGAGCGACAGCTTCTTTCTCAACAGCTCGTGCTTTCCATTCAGTCCCAACACACAAGTACAAAAACACTTATACACGCACATTTTTCATTAAAAGACTCCCAAGAGTTCCAAGTCATCTCCCATCCATCTCCAGTAATTCTGTATGTACACTAACATTTACAAAGATATTATTAACAGCACGCATTGTTATAATAAAAATATAGGTGCTTACATTTGTGCGTAGCAGACATTGACAGCAATCAAGAAAAATAAAAATTAAAAAATTAAGTTTCCCATCAGTGTAGAGAACTCAGTCCAATGATCAGCTTGTACTGTAGCACTGAAACTAAACACAATGAAAAATAAATATTCAAACGGTGAAAAGGTAAATATTAAAATGATATGTGGAGTTATTAGGTGAAATGTGGTGCCTCTCCTCGAGCAATCAGTTCCAGAGAAATAGCAAGAGAAGCGGCGTCGGGCTTGCAAAACAAGCACTACAGGCACTCTACGGCAAATATTCACCTCCATTACTGTGACGTAACATGACATGAAAAACACATTGTGACACAAAAACCAAACAAAAGTACAAATTTATCCCCACTGTGCAAAATAATCGCTTATTTCGTAGCATGTCAGCATATAAAGGAGTCAATTATATCATGACACCTTTTTTTTTTTTTTTTTTTAAAGGAACATGAAAAATTCCAGTGCTTCCAAAGAAGTGCCAAAGAGTTTACAATGTAAACTAAATACTATATCCTCTTTTAAATCAACAGTGCAACCATAAGTTGAAAAAAAGGATGAGCTGAAAGTGTTATCTAGGCATGAGGGTTGGTCTCTCCAAAATATCAAACCAGAAGAAACTGGTTTCCCAGAGAGCCGGCCATCTGAGCTGTGAGCTGTAACTGGAATAACTGTTGATTTAAAGGAGTCACGGTTTGCCTCTTTTAGTCTGAATAAATTAATACATGTGATGTTAAGTTTCCCAGAAAACACAGATTCATCAGTCTCAGAGAGAAAGAAAATGTCTAACAACAGCAAGAAAAGGAGAATTTAAGAGCCTTGCTTTGAAATGACATATCTTTGAACATAAATATCTGATAGGACAGCAATCAAACCACAGTCCTCTGTGAACAATAAAAGGTACAATAACTTCATGTTATTGTCTTCAGTGAGTCTTTGTCAGCGATCCACTTTCTGGCCTCTTTGAGCTACGTCACACATCGGTGCGCTTTCACTGGCAGGACTGCAGGACGTCATGGCGGCCGGATGAGTTTCTCTTCAGGTTCTGTAAACACAAAAAGAAATGCACCAATAACGTTAGAGGCCTTTTGTATTGTGGCAACACATTCAACAACAACAACACGAAAGACAGTGCTCTTGCATGAATAAAAATAAATATATGTCCCCTGGGCAAATGATACTCTCTCTTGTAGTGTAATCCCTAAACCACAAGTTACATCACCTGTGTTTTCTCAGGCCCTGACTTCCTCTATGATATTTTTAGAGGACGTGAAAACTAGCAGTGAGTTAATGAGTGTGTGAATAGGCTGCTGTGGCTGACTGTGTGTGTGTGTGTGTGTGTGTCTGCCATCGAGTTAATCCTCAGGTGATTATGAATGAAGCTGACAAGATCCTCACACACCCAACATCGCTATCCACACTTTTCCACTGTGCCAGCAGAACTAGCGCAGACATGCCATTTCCCCTCGTGTAGTTAATGAAGTTCGCTGACTTTGCATTGTTCATTTAACTACTGGAGAACGATTTGTTTGTAGACGCAACTGTGGTCGAAGATGAGGTCATTCTCAAAAGAAATAGCCCAGTGTATTTAACAAACAAACTAAGAGGAAAGTCATGTCTGATGTAGTTTTCTGCACGGGACTTTCACTGCGGACCCAAAGCGAACTTTTGGCCATTTTGGAAGATATTTGGTAGCAGTCAACAGCTGTTAGCATGCTAACTCGCTGACCATCATTGTTTTATTGTCAACACTCTTGATTAGCACAAAACAAGCTCATCTAGTGAACATTCATTTGTTTCTGTTTCTGGATGGAAAATTATCTTGCAAGTCATATTTTTAGTTTTAGTTTGTGTATATTGTCAGCTTGTTAGCACACTAACCAACCAACCGTTAGTTTATTGATACATTTGATTAGCACAAAACAAGCACATCTAGTGGAAGCCAGCTTTAGCATGTCGCTAAAAGGGTCTGAAAAGTGGGTAAAATCTAGTGAGAAAGTTGCCAAGTTGGCAACACCGATCTCTCTCTACGTAGCGAGCCACTTGACAACGCCTAACAATTAAGATAATATATATTCCATGACGCATGAATGTAATAGTTTCATTTTTATGGACAACTCTACTGTCCCAGAATGATCCCAGACACTGTATCTTTGTGCCCCAGGTGCTATTTTTATTGTCCCCGGGACAATTGGACATCCTTGATTTCGAGCACTGATTTGTGTCTTTGCTAAACGAGCCTGCTGGCTGGTTTGTCTGCTAGTGCTGCTTCTTCAAAATCTCACCTTGTTGAGGAGTAAACTTGTGAGAGAAAGAGTTACTTGTGCCAAAGGAAGCTGGTTTTGTTAGTTGGCTGATATTTATCTGAAGTTGTTAGTGTCAGATGTGGCTGCTGGCGAAACTATGAAGCAACTGTAAAGGCTCTACAGCGTGTTTACCTTTGAAAGACTAAGAGTGAAACCACTTTCAGATATTGGAGGATGGTTCGTCTTTAAGCGACAGGACAAGACGGGCCAAAAATAAACCAAACACAAGACAACAAGAGGACAGTCAGCATGAATCCACATAGTACAACAAGCAGAGTGTGCTGACGACAACAGTGACGATAACAGGCAGGAATCACAGGAATGTTAAGTGGGAAGTTGAGTTCCCTATGAACAAATATAGAATAAACTTTTTTTCTTTTCCCTCACTGAGTGGAAACAGTGGTGCTGTTATTCAGTACAAACTATCATTTCCTGTGAGTCAGGTTTGAAACAGTACAGGCTTACTGAAACAAATTCCGACACAAAATATCAGTTCCTTGGAATATGTTGCATTCTATTAATAAATACTTAAGACTATTAAGGTATATTTCTTTACATAATTAGATTTCAAAATCAGATTTAAGTGTGTTCACAGTTAAGTATTATTGGAAGTCTGGGAAAATAAATGTCAGCAGTGACCACAGTGAAACAAAAAGACACAGCGACAGGAAGAGAGTGGAGGGATGAGATAAAAAGAGCGAGAACAGCCAGAGATAGTGAACTGAGCGAATACTTACAGGCAAACTTTGCCCAGCCAATGCTGTAAGGCGCAGAGGAGGAGAACGCAGCAGAGAGGAAAAGAGGACGGGAAACAAGTGAGCGAACATACATGCAGTTTATACAGAAGCTGTCAGAAAGGAAACAGATGAAGGAAATGTTTTTGTCTGTTTGAAAGAGGGTTTTCTATCCTGATTAAATGAGAGTTCTGCAGAAACACAAACCGTACCATAAAAAATGTCTAACTGGGTGTGAGGCAGAAGCTTCTCGTGACTTGAGTCTTTTGACAATAAGTGCGTTTGTGTGTGTGTTTGTGAGAATCCTACCTGTCCAGCCAGGCCGAGAGGGAGGTGTGCGGGGCTGCAGAGCGCCAGTGAGGCGACAGATGGGGGCAGCTCCTGGATCGGGGCCTCGTCTAGGTCATCGATGCGAGGTTTCTTGATGTTTGACTCAGGGCTGGTCAGAGGAGTCACACTGTTCCTCCTGATCAATGTGCCAGGGCCCCTCTTCACCTCCTGCAGAGGAAGATAAACATGTAACACTCAGAAATAAAGCCCAAGCTGTATCCATTTCTTTTACATTTCCAGTTGTGATGAACTGCCACCCCCCAGCAGTTGTACAGGATGTGACCCTGGCTTTCTATTTTTCTGAGCACAAAGTCCCAGTAATCAGTCTATGAAGCATTACCTCTGGTCTGTCTCTGTGGGTGTTCACTGCCTCCACATTCAGATAGATGGACTCCACTTTGCACCCATAGGCGACCGGGGTGAGCTTCAGCACTGTGTGGAGGGGACACTTTAGGTAGGGCATCTCATCTGCAACAGCCAATCGGAGGAAAAAACACAGGTATGAACACAGCTGTATCAGACTGGAGTATTAAAACTCATTATTTAGTCGATGACACTAAACCTCGGGGCTTATGGGAGTTGTAGTACCCACCTGCACTCTTATCCAGGAAGTAGGCCAGCAGGCAGCGCATGACGGCCTGGTGGCAGATAACCAGGACGTTCTCTTGCCTCTCCAGCTCCATGATGACCGGCTCCACCCTCTGGACCAGGTCCTGGTAGGACTGCAATCAGGAGGGTGGGGTTGTTTATCATTGTTTGTTTATTGGATCACACTTCAAAGCCCACAGGATTTTGGCCTAAGTGTGAAGGTGTCCAGTGGTTGTAGACTGTGTGTGTGTGTGTGTGTGTGTGTGTGTACCTCTCCAGCAGGGTAGCGATAGTAGAATTTATCTTCATCTCTCAAAGCAAACTCTTCCGGGAGTTTCTCCTTCACCTCGTCATACGTCATCTCTTCACACACTCCCTAAAACGAACACACCCATTATACTTCAGTTCGGCAACGACTGATAAAGCTGCGTGATATGGTGTGATAGTGTGTGTTGCTCACAGCGTCTATCTCGTTGAGAGCCTTCCACTGTTCGTACGGGACCCCCAGGTGCTCGGCGGTCTGGATGCTGCTACACAGCTGGCTGGTCCAAACCTTCAGGTCCTTCAGCTGCTGCTCCTCCACAAACCGAGCCAGGGCAGTCGAAAACTACAGTGAGGAGGGAGCGGGATTTAACGCCTGAAGTTGATCCATTATGGCGTAAAAAACTTCTCATCTTGCTAACCGTGTACTTCTGCGGTTCTGTCTGAGGCTGCCCGTACCTGTCTGCCTCGCGGCGAGAGGCCCGCGTCGCCGCCCAGCCGTCCCTCCAGGTTGTCGGTGCTCTCTCCGTGCCGACACAGGTAGATGGTTCGCGGCTGGACGTGGATGTTCATCAGGTAGTAGACAATCTTGCTCTGGATGTGATCCTGGATCCGGTTGACGAGGTAACGCCGACCCACGTCTATCACCTTGATGAAGGAGAGATCCCTGGAGGAAGAAGGCAAACAGGATGGGATGAGCGATTTCTGCGAGAGCTGTGTCGGAAATTGAAATTGACGTCCTGACAAAAACTACTGGTCATTCACCTGTCATGCTGATCAGGGTCCAGGGGTTGGTAGCTGGTTTTGTAGCATTCAATTCTCCTCTGGAAATCCAACATGGCGTCAGTCTTGTTGCAGTCCCGGTAGTCTGGACACGACACCTTCACTTCCTGTGCGGGGAGGGTAGAGTGTCAGACGGCAAATGCTACGCCTGATGCCAGAGAGTTGTAAACATTTAATGTCATTTAATGTGTCACACAGCACCATTGCGATGTCATGTTTGTGACTCACCATGATGTTTGACGCGATGACGCTGGGGTCGTCGCACACAGACTCGATGAAAAAGATCTAGGCACAAAAAGAAAAAGCCGTTAAAAGTCTCTGCATTGTCGACGAGGTCGTACCTTGAGTCTTTGGGTCGCCGTAGTAACACTCACCTTGAAGCCGTTCTCAGTGCCAAACTTGAGGATCATCTCTCGCCTGTCTCTTGTCGTGTTTGTGGCATCAAAGACCTGAGAGAAATGTGAAACAGCTGTGTTAGACGATGACAATCATCAAGTCGCACATTTGAGGACAGTTTTAGAAAAAGCATGTGATGCATGATGGGAAACTCACCGCCACTTGGCCTCCCTCGTCCTTCAAATAGGACCTGACATCCCTCAAGGCTGCTAAGGCACACTGCCTAAAGAAAACAAGACAGTGGAGATGTTCATTTAGTTTATCATTAAAGCATTTACAGTATATGACTCTAACTGTGTGTGTGTGTGTGTGGGGAACTTACTGCCTGATTTTCACGGCACAGTCATTATCGGGCTTGAAGAAGTCATAGGAGCTGTAGTTCTTGACCGCCTCCCTGCGGTACTCCCCCACATTGAAGACTACAACACACACACACACACACAGGGGAAGAACGAGCATGAAATGATGTCCTGGAAGCAGAGACACGAGTTGATGCTGCCAGCCAAAACGCTTCACGGCAGTGGCGTGTCATCCTGATAGGCTCCTGCAAACTGTACGGGTGTTTTCGTGCGTCTGTTGTGTACCTTTGGTGGGCATGCCGATCCAGTTGAGGTATCGGGTTAGCTTCTTGGACATGTACGTCTTGCCTCGAGCGGGAAGGCCCACCATCACGATGACGGTGGGGGGGTTGACGAAGGGGGCGCCAGCTGCTGCAGAGAGGGACGGAGGGGGAGATATGTTACGGTAACAGCACCCGTTTACAAACTGCAACAAGGACATAATTTACATGTTGTGCTCTGCAACCCGAGAAGGCAGCCAGAGAGCTGGCACAAACAACCAGAGCTGCAGCCCGCCTGGATTTATTTATTAAAACCACCTATTTACCTATAATCTTTCATTCGTTCCATGCTGACACACTCCCAGTGAGCACGAGGGTGCCTGCCGCCGCCAGACTAGCCTTTCACTTCCACCTCACTGCACACTGACCCATATCTACGCACTCTGAAGCAGCTTAGAGGAGCAAGGATGAGTTGTTTTCACTTTTCACAAATATACTGTGACCCCAGCATAGAGCCCCTGAGGAGACTTTATATCATATGACGCTGCAGGGAAGGCTGCCCTGGATTCACACAGTGGGCGGGGGGGGTGTTGATTCTACTCGAAAAATATGTTCTGTAGGTCAATAGAAATTGTGAATAATTTACTGTTGTTAAACCGATTGTTTGGTTGAAGCAAAAAAAAATTGTTTTGTCTTTTAAGGGCCTTTTTTTCACCCAGGTATGCAGGATGGTTTCTCCATCAGCAGTGACCACTCATGGCCTGGTAATGCCCCCAGAGCTCATTTATTCTTCCTCGCAGTGCTGCTAATCGTGTTTCCATAACACAAGAGCCACGTTGCTCAAACGGAAAAACGGATCACAGTCTAGGTTGATCCTCAGACATCTGATTCACCATTCCCCAACCAGTCCATCTCACCTACTGCACAGCATCCCACCCTACCTCATAGCTCTTTTTTTATTTAACCTCTCCTCCGTAAGAAAAAATATTAGGGACACAGTTGATGAAAGCCTCAATTTTGTCTGAATCAGACATTAGGCACAAGTGAGAAGCCAGTCCGTCAGCATGAACAGTGCTCTTCCCCTTTCATTGATCAGTAAACCACAATATCCCATCAATAATCAATGAGCAGCAGCAGAGGAGGAAGGGACCAGTGTGGATCTACATGTGCAGCTGGTGTGTCAGAATCAAATCTTAGAAGCAAGCAGGATACAGTCTTCCTCCGCTAGAATTTTGAGCGGAAATGTTGGCCAACCCCAGTTTGAGGACGAATTTGAGGCAATGTGTCTGAACTAAAAGAAGCTATAAGTGTATTACTTTTTTTTTCCTCTCTTGCTTTAAATTAGCAGATATTTTTCCTCTGACCTCCTTAACAGCAGCTGTAAAAAAACAAAAAACAAATCTTACATAGCAAAACTAAAGGAGAAAGCTTCTCAGTGGCGTTAAATTGATTTTGCTCTCTTTGATACAAAGCCAGAAACGCCACAGCAGCAGGGTCGGCCGACCAATTAGAGACCGTCACACACAGGTTGCGGTTACCATGGTGACCGGAGCTACGAGGATGGCTGTGACGTGCCGCGCGTGCTGATGAGGACCACCAATCAATGAGATGACGATGAGTCAAACGACCCACAGGTGCGCTGATGCTAAGTTAGCTAACTACAGATATGGCGGAAACGTGGAGAAGAAGAAGAAATAATAATAAAAATGTAAAATAAAACCGCTGTTTGGTTCAGTAGAAACACGAATTAGACTTTATGTGGTTGTATTACGGAAACAGAAGTAGCCTAGTGATGATACAAGCTGGTACTGAACACCAGAGACACTTCGTCACAACTAGCCGTGAGAGATAAAACGAGCCATAAAACGTTATAATTATAAGTCCATATAAATGTATTATAGTGATAGACAACGCCAGAAACACTAATACTACTTACTAACACCGGCACTACCATTCTATAGCGATACTCTATGAGAGAAGAGAGTAAGAGTACTTTAGTTTTACCTCTCCGGGGTGCCGGCTTGTCATCTTTGGTGGGAATCCAGATCTTTTGGATCCTGTTCTGGGTCAGCTCTCTGGGCATTCCTTAGAGACTGAAGAGCCGCTTAGATCCCGGGGAAAAAAAGAGGACAAATAGAGCAGGTGGTTGTTTGAGCAGAGCCTCCGTTAGGGCGCAATGAACCGGGTCGTTCACAGTGTCTGCAGAGCGCGTTGAGCCGGGCTAATCTGCCGGTGTGCGGCACACATCCGCTATTTAACTCCGCCCGCCCGCCCGGCCGGGAAGCAACGTGACTGCGGTGACGAAATGCAAACACGCTCGCAAACACGCTCCCACACACACACACACAGGCAGCCACAGCGCCTCCCTGTGGTTACTCTATTTAATATTTCTGATGGTTATTTTACATATAGTCTATTATTATCGGTAATAACATGTAATGTATACTTATAGTAATAGTTCTTATGATGCATGTGTGAATTAGTCGCTCCATTGTGCTACTCCAGCCACAGCAGTAATTATATATGAATCATTATTTTTATTCTATATATGAATTATTGCACTCTTTCTGTTTATTTAAATGTATTGATTTTCAAATATTTCCCATGTTATTGCTTGTTTATGTAGTTTTATAAATGGTCACAGGGGCGCTATAGTCATTTGATGATTAGCATGTGGCTGATGTACATAATGTATTTAGCTTTTGTATGTCATTGCCTTCATCTATTACTGTGTTATTATTTTAAATAGTCATTTATCTGTTTTCTACCACTTTCTTTATTATTTATACAGTCTGAGATGAAACCTGGAGTAAACGTGCAGAATGTCACATCACCTCACTCTGCTTCCTCATTCTGGGTTATCCCATTGAGTCACAATGATGAAGTTGTGCAGGAAATTAGCATAAACATCAAAAAGCCCACATTGGTCAAACATGTTTTAATACAAGGTCAGAGGAATGTTGTAGGAGAGCCAAAAAACCCCCCTAAATATATAGTCTGAGTGAGGACCTGGAGATCATATATTTAATTCTGTTTTTCTCATTTGCAGTGTGTGTATGCAGCTTCCTGCAGCCTCTGAGCACAGACTAAATATAACGGCTCACTGAGTTTCTGCTGGTTTACAGTTTCACCCTGACCCCTGTGACACCAGGCTGCAATGGAGAGATCAGATAAGAAGATGCACACACACACACACACACACACACACACACACACACCATCCTATGACACTATTATCTTGTAATATTTTTCATACACAATGTAAAATTGATTGTAACAAGCTGCATCTTATTCATGGCCTGCCATCCATTGCATTAGTATGAAACCCTGAAAGCTTTCTGACGTTCTGTGGATCCTAATGGAACCAATCTGTTACTTGAAAGTGACTTAAAGCTCATCTCTGGTGCTCATTGCTGACTTTATCATGACCTCATTCTGTTTGCACTTTTATTATCACTATTCATTAAGGTACTACGCTCTACAGGTGCAGATTTACTCATTAAACAATAAGTGACATATACTTTTCTAGTTAAGCAGTAATATAATATTTTCTGCAGTGTGAGGACGTACAGTGACTTGTGGCTACACTGTAATTCAAAATACTTAAGCAACTGCTGCGGTTCTTTAACTTTTTTCAGTGTACTGAAATTCCTCGGTTGCCTCAGTTTAGACTTGAAACGCTCTCCCCAACCTTTCCTCAAAAAACTCAGTCTTTGGTTATTAGTAGCTGCTCCACAAAAGGATGTGTGCACGCTTTGAGTTTGATTTATCTTTTTTTACGAGAAAATATTTATACCATTTGGGTCCAGTCAACATAACTAGGCTGATTTCTAATACTAAATTTCATTTTATAATTATTTTTACTGACTCTAATAATAAAGGTTCAACATATTAAACTCAGAAAACGACAAAAACATACATTTGCATAGAATAATGATACATGAATAAAGAAAACAGTAAACTAGTTTATACCCTCTGTTTTTTATTATTCTGAACTCTCTCCAACCGTTTCCCATAAACCTAATTTCTATGACACTCACACTAATATCCTGTTTATTTAATCAGTGACAAACGTTTGCTGTTGAGCACTTGAACAAAGGTTAGCTGTGAGAGAAAAGAGAACAGCAGTACAATTGTGATATTTATGTGCTGAACATCCTCCGCAAACATTAGTAAGACAGCAGTTATTTTCCTAAACACGAAAAGGGCATATGATCTGGATCTTGAAGGATTCAGACGTGTCCGTTTGATTTGAACTGAACGTGTCCGGGTGGAGAAACTGTGGTTGTGAAACCAAACGTGGTTTGTGCCAGTTGTTTGTCCTGATAGTGAAACACGTTTTAAACTTTGCTTTAGACAAAAAGAGCAGAAAAGATAAAGTTTTTAGGAACGTGAATGCAGTCTGTGGGGATTTTAGAAGATAAGATTGTCACCTTTCTTTAACTTACAGTAACACTAGTATAAACGCTGCTGAACCAAGGTCAAGGCTTTTGCTATTTCATTATAATGTCTTATTGTTTTCTTAAAGGGGACAGTTCACTCTAAAATCAAAAATACATACATCCCTCTCACCTGTAGAGCTATTTATCATCTAGATTATTTTCATGTGAGTTGCTGAGTTTTGGAGGTACCGGCCTCCTCTATTATTATTATTACTATATTATGGAACTAGATGGCACTCGGCTGCTCAATCACCAAAAAAATATACATTTGAAAAACGTCTCTTTCTAGAAATGATGACCCAGTTAGCCAAGATAACCCACAGACCTTGTTGTGAGCAGTTAATGTGTTTCTTTCTGCATATCACTGCGCAGAAAGTAGTGTGCATCTATTCATGGACGACAGGCTAATGCTCGCGACAGTGCATGGTTCTAACATGAATGGCATCCTCCTCCTTGATCAGTGTAATAGTTAATTGGTCTTGAGACAACTTAGTTAGCTTGTATTCTGTATTGATGCAAATGATGCAAACATTGCTTTATGTTTCAGATAGTTTCTGGACTGAGTGGGAATAAAACATTGGCGGGTGTAGTTAGGTAGAAAGAAAATTATCTTAAGTAATTGGGTCATGATTTCTGGAAAGACACATTGCTGTTGAATTTTTCAAATGTATATTAATATGCTTATTGACGCTCTGAGTGCCACCCGGTTCCATTATATTCGAGAGAAGGCAGACAGCCAATCTACAGCCATTATCTTGGCAACTAACACCCAAACAATCTACATAGATGAATAGCACTACAGGTAAGGGGGAAAATATGTATTTTTAATTTTGGGGGGAACTGCCCCTTTAAGCATGCAAATAAAAGAGTTCCTCAGCTTTCACTTATATTGCAAATGCTGAGAGTTTGACAGTGATTTAGATTGTATTTTGTCTCCGGAGGATAAATTGCTTGTCAGTCTTGGCTAACTTTCCCTAAAAATAGCTGTGAATCCAAATGGGGCTCGCCTGAGTGTAAGGTAATTAAAATAATATTTGTGAGCGAAACACTTGATTAAGTCTTTAGTCTGTAATGAAATCTACTTTGATTGACGTTTCTCTGAACACAAAATTGTTTCTTGGTTTGTCAGTGAGGTTTAGACCAGATTATTGAAGAAAATGCCGTATGGTCAACAATGAATTTTCCTGTTATAATATACAGTATGTAGGTTTGCTGTAAGTAGACAGGAACTGATTCCCCGATAGTAGCCTAACAATGAATCCTGCACATCATGTACAATTTTGAGCCACTTGTACAAGCAAGTATTTCCATTTTATGCTACTAAATATTATACTTTTTACTCCATTACATTTAATTGGGAGCTACAGTTACTTTTCAGATCAATATGTAACATAAAACCATATGACAAGTTGTTAAACACAATACATCGTTTAAGATTAAACCATTAGTCATTTTGAACCTTTTTGGCTTGTGGGCTCTTACAAAAAGCAGTGTCTGCTTCCACCAAAGAATGGTATATACAGGATGGTATATGTATATTTATTTAAGTTTGTTTCCTTTCCTTTCATTCTTTCATTGTAATTCTTCAGAGCTGGAAGCTAAACGCATTGTGACCTCTCGACCTCACCTCATGTCACACCCACTGGTATTTAGGTCATAATTTAACAGCCAATCGCATCACTCTGCTGTGTTGTGAACGTCCCTACATATACATATACACACACACTACCCACACGCACAGACACACACACACACTGCCGCTACTGGCCCGACGAGGGCCAAAACAAACCTGCTACTGACCCTGACACCCAGCATGGGCTCGTGCACTTTTGTGGGTCATTTTGTGTTTTTGTTGAGTCTTGTACTGTGAACATTCAAAACCACATTAGGGAATTTTTTTTTGAATTGCAACCTGGCTGCATTTTATTTAGTCATTTTCAGCTTTTCAAACTAAAGGAATGTACTTTCATCTGCACTCTTTATTATTATTTTGAGAAAATGTTACCTGTTCATCCCTTTTGCCTTGACCTTTGACCCCCGCAGCCCTGCAGTATGAATGAATAAAATATTTCAAATGGGCCTCACTTCTTCTCCTGATTTTATATCCAACCTGTTTCCCTGATCTGAATTAAACCTGCTCCGGTGGGATCCTTCCTGACGTATTTTGCTGGAACCTCCAGGGCCCTTTTGGCGCACTTACATAACTTCTGAATGAGGCTGGGGCTGCGTTCGCCGCCCCAGTCCCCTTCCCATAATCCATCAGGGCTAAGTTAAGACTATTGGGCCCTGGAGATGTGTTAACACTACTGAGGAACCAGAGTTATGTCAGACAAAATTCTGAGGAAAACTAGGCTTCTTGCATATTAACAGCAGCACTATAACAGGTTGTCTGCAAGTTCTGAGTTCAATTTGTGGTTATGCAACAAAATGTTTACACCATACTGAAATATTTCACATTTTGAAGCTGAAAAACAATGGTACACAAATAAACAAAGCAGTTAACTAGACAGTTTATACCCTTTATTTTGTCTTGGCATAAAGGTATTTTTCATCACAGAAAAAAAAAACAATCTACAAGATGGACTCATCACTACATACAGACACTTCACTGTTCAGGAAATATAAAAAAGGTTTATTATGTACAAGCGGGGAGATGATGTGTGTTCATAGTGCCTGTTGGTGCCCGGAGACATCAGACCTGCTCGCCCAGGTCCAAAACCCGAAACTTGTCTAGATTGTAGAAGCAGGCCTTGACGACCCGCCCACCGAAATAACGTCCGTTCAGATCCACCACGGCTGCAGGGGAGAGAGACAGTTCAGGTCAGACTGTACCCGAGTACAAAGATAAACCTTTCAACAACAGATTAGTATCGCCATATTACAGTAAACCACTAAATCTGCCTTCCGATACTTTGACAGGGTTTGACATTGTATAATATACTGTAGCATTTGTATTTATTTCAGCAGAAGTCTCTTCAGTGTCCTAAAATGTGTGTGCAGGGTCTTTAACATGTATACGTTCTCTGTGGCTTTTGTAAATTCCTTTCACTGTGGTTGTTGAACAATGGTACAATGTTGAGCTGAAGACTTAGTCTCTTGTTCTTTTGACGTACTCTGTAGTACTAGCACGGCACACAAAAAACTAAACGAAGCAAGATTGAACAGCTCAATTGTTTTGTGCTTGTGATTTTCTTTTAACCTCAAGGGCCTCTTGTTCTAAGAAAAAATTATTCGTGTGGAACAAACTGTCGTGGCAAGCGGCTGAGTGATGCTAACAGTTTGCCCTAAGTGCCAGTGATAAAAGCCCGAAAAAGAAAAACAATTTTGCTTTGGCTCTCCCACTTCTGGGAAAAAAAGGAGAAATATGACATCAGTGTTCTTTCCCATGATTGTCGATTGTGTGTGCGACAACATATTGTAAATGCTGTCCTACGGTTCTTACACGCACGCACGCACACAAACAAACACCACAAGGTAACCTTCCATTAAAAGGGACAGCTGAGACACACAGTGTTCGATCTGTCTGGCAGTGTTAACCTTATCAATGAAATGGGCAACCTCATATTGCTCGAGTACAGCAATCCACTTTCCTTGTAGGACGCTTGAGATCGCCTCAGTCAGCACATTTAATGCAGTACTTTTCATTCAGCTTCAGTCTGCTGACTGCGTTATGTTGCAGTGATTACACTGGCGAGATTGTTTAGCTGTCAATCTCATCACAGGCACAATATATTCTTCTGAGAGAAAGGTTCTGGCATTTTGAGGAATGTGTTTCTTGGCAGGGGTAAGATGAGGTGATGGATACCATTCTCATGCATGTACGCTAAATATGAAGCTACAGCCAGGAGTCAGGGGTATCCAGGCAACCAGCAGAGACTCCTGTAAGTCAATGCACCTGACCAAGAACTAGTCCAGCACACAACCTCCTGTAGATTATTCGTTTGCACGTGTCCTATTGTAAATGTTAAAATGAAAGACTAGGAAAGCACTACCATTTCATTTCTTAATAGTGCCACATGGGCAAGATGCTTGTACACGCTGAAGACGGGCATGTTGTCCAAAACGTCCATGAGGCAATATTAAAGAATTAAATGATGAAATTATTTTATGATTTAGCACAGTTTTAGCACCCAGTCTTTAAAGTCTTAATGTGAGTTAAGCACACTGTAACTCATTTGTAATCTAAATCTTACCCTTTTATATTTATGCTCTTGACTTTACAGTCTTTACTTCTCATCTTGTTTATTGTTCTCTCCGTTATGTTATTCTCCAAATACCAAAACTAATTCTTTACACTTGAGAATAAATCTGTTGTTTTTACATTAAACACACCAGATTTTATAAGATGTGCATTAGTCAGCTTTAAATGTGATAGCAAGCAGATTTGTTCACCACTGGAGTTTCGAAAGAGCCAGGCTAGCAGTTTCACCCTGTTTGAAGTCTTCATGCTAAGCTAATTGGCTTTTGGCTATAGCTTTGTATTTAACACAGACATGAAAATGGTGCCAATCTTCTCATCCAACTCTCAGCAAGAAAGCAAACAAGCACAGCACATGGGCCCCAGTTTGTGAGCAATGTCCAATCTGCACAATAGCTTTTTGCATATAATTCCAGACATATCCAGAGCATTATGGGAAACTGCTTCCAACAAGGTCAAGAGTCAAGGGTCAGATGTTACCCTGATGCCCTCTCAGTGCTCCAACCCTGTGACAGCTAACATGAATAAATGTCAACCTGAGACCTGATAAAGTCACTTCACGCAGTCACAGAAGGGAATCAGGTGGAACTGGGCTCAAACCCTCGTTGTTTGCGGCTGCATGGCGGGGTCATATCCCACCTGCTCCTGCTTGAACTCTGACCTCCCTATAAAGGTGAGGCACGCAACCAGAGACTCTCTCTCCTGTGAGCAATAAAATGTTTCATCATCATCTATAGAAATAGATCACGCAGCGCAACACTTATGACTGTGGCCCTCCGTATCGTTCTTTCAGCGTCTGTCCCGCTTTCTGAGAGCGGTGATGTAAGCGCGGTGCTGCCGGGGCCGCAGGGAGACGGCTGGGTTGCTGGGCCACGTATGATGTAACACCACAGGGAGCCGAGTCTCACCTTGTTTCTGATCTGGGCCAACACATTTAGAATGGGACACACTTGCACCCACATTATTAGAGCAGTTATACAATGGTAGGAACAAAGTGATGCCATTATATAAAGTTGTTCGCCCACCGAAAAACAAAGCAGCTCCTTACTTATGGAAATACCACTGTGATTTCAAAATGACCCTGTGAGAGCAGCATCAAAATGGGAATGCTTTCACTGACGAATAATGCAGGCTCGAGTTTGGAGCGTTAAAAGGTGCAGATTCTTTAGTGAGCTTCCAGAGCTCTTCACCTATTTTGAGGCAAAGTGACCTGTAGGGCTGTAACTAAGGATTATTATTATTCATACTCATTAGCAATTCATCTTTTGAACATTTTCTCAATGAATCGATCATAAGCTATTAGTCCGAAATTGTGAAAAATGTTGATCACTGTTGGCCAAAGCTCAAGGTGACATCGTAAATGTCTTGATTTGTCCACAACCCAGAGATATTTAGTTTACAGAGGATTATTAAAGAAACCAGAAATTATTATCCCATTTGAGAAGCTGGAATCAGAGAATTTGGAATTTTTCTCTTAAAAATAGACTCAAAACAAGTAATTGATTTGATCAGTTGTGGTCAACCCATGAGTTTTTTTTTAATATATTGGCCATCGGCAGGGCTATCGATAACAAATCAAAGAAAAGTCACGTGTAATAGTATTATATAGGAAATGTGTGCATGTTTACAGCAGGATGCATGAAACTTATAGTACAGGGCTCCAAACTAACTTTTCGCCACCTTTCCAAAAGTCACAAGGGGGAGCGCCGACATCCTTCCACACGGACGAGGCCGCCTGCAGATGTGTCTGAAGACATTTTTTATTTATCTGCCTCGTGAGAGCAGATATAGGCTCATGCTGATTACCTCAGAATGCAACCCAATTAACCGGCCGGCCGATTAATCACACTAATTATCAAAATCGTAGGCGATTAACTTAATAGTTGACAACAAACTTGAATAATCGACATCAAGTTTGTGCATGTGAAGACTAAATACTGACCTTTGATGGCTGACTCCACCCTCTCAAACTCCAGAAATATCCTGACAGCTTCATCATCTAGCACTTCTGCAATCTGAGAAGACAAATGTGTGTTTTTTTGTCATTGTCCTGTTTGATTAATACATTCACTTCACACACTTTGCAATCCTCTCACCTCAAAAATGACACATTTAACCACTTTGCCGTATTTCTCGCACTCTTCTTTCGTCTCTCCCTCCAGGTCCTCGTCAACCTCTCCTGGGCCCACCATGTTCTGAGAAACAAAGACATTAAGGCCTACTGACATGGGACAGTGGAAGACAATGAGGTCTGTTGTGGCCATGACTTTTCTTTTATATTTTTTGGGGCTTTTATTGTCTTTATGATAGTGACAGCTGAAGACAGACAGGAAAGGGGGGCAGAGAGAGGGGAAGACACTCAGCATAGGGCTGCACCGGACACCCCTTCTTTTGACTTTTTACACAAGATTACACTTGAATACAGTTGTAGTTGTATTGTTTGTAAGATATATGTAAAACGCAACGTGGGGACACATCACTACAAACAATGTAAAGAATTATTTTTTATTTTATCATTAGTTATTCTGTGATACTGATGCAGTCTAGATACGAGGGTTTAAGAACACACAGACATACCCTCAGAAGGACGACTTTGGTCGGGTTTTTGAGGATCTCTGTGAGCGGGTTGGCCTCGGACTTCTTGGATGAATCCGCTGGTTGGACAGTAACAGAAACAAAAGGTCATGTTTTTTCCCTCCTTTGATGTTCAAAGGCTGCTGGGGAGCTGGATGGAGCAGCTGAAAGTGTGTGACAGCTTTATCGTAACATTTTATCGGATTATTTGTTGTTTGATTCAGTACGTGTGATAAATGAAACAATTCTCCAAATCTTTTGTCCCAAAAATTCTTGTTCTGTGTTTGCTGATGTGATATCCACTTTCTCTGTCACGTCTGGCTGTTTTTGTCATATTTTAACAGTGCTTTTATTGTGTTATACATGCTGCTGATACTCTAAAAGGGTCACTCAAGTGAAACATCATTGTTCCTGGAAAAGTGACTAAGCAGCACTGCAAATGTATACATACATAGCGTATTACACAAGAAAACGTCTCAGTCGTGCTTGGTTACACTACGAACAGTGATCCCTGAACTGGGAATCAGCGCCACAACGTGTTCCTCAGTGGGAACCTGGTGTCCTGGTCTCTACTCCCATTTGACAAGGAGAGAATTTCAAAGAGTGACTATTCTCATCTAAACTCTTATTCTGATTAGTATACAGCACTGACAACAGGGATTCCTGCTGATCAGCTGTAAATCCAATCACACTCTGCTCATACAACTACAGCAGTTCAGCTTCAAATTATTTATATTGATGTAACATTAAAACTAGTGGAGAAGAACTTGTTAACACGTGGATTCTTTAAATCACTTTGGGAAATTACACTCTGGTTTTTGTATGGATTAAACAAACATTAGCACGCTTTAGAGGTGCTGGTAGTTTTTTTTTTGTCACCTTCAAACAGAACCAGCCTAGCTATATCCCCGTGTCCAGCCTTTGTACCAACGTAAGCTAAACGGCAACTAGCAGTAGCTTCATACTTAATGGTAAAAGGTTATGATCATCTAACTCTCCAGCTGAAAGCAAATAAGCATTTCCCCCAAATTGCTGAACTATCCTTTCAAGCCATACTGAATATGTAAAGTGGATTTTGCTTCATTTATCATTGCGTAGCGGTTAGGAGAATAGGTTAAAAGAATCAGAACAAGTGCAAGCAAGTGCGAATTAGGAGCCAAGCTGCACAGACCAGATTCAAAGTAATCCAAAACTACAAAATGAGCAAAATACTACAGTGTTAGTTAGCTGACACTACGTTCACACTGCAAGCTTCAGCACTCAATTCTGATTTATTGCTCAAAACTGATTTTTTTCCCCACATTATTTTTTAAATGTGGCCCATATCACGGTCCTGAAAATACCCACATGATGAATGCTGATAGAGAGTGACGAAAAGTCACATGAATTATGATATTACTGTTCACACTGCAGAAAATATGATCTGTATCTGATTTCGACCATACTATATGAAAGTGATCCAAATCAGAATTGAAAAGATTAGATTTCATGTGGTTTGTAATATCTGAGCAAAAGAATCAGATTTGAAGTCACTTGTGCGTGTTGGCATTACTAGCACACATTAAGCAGAACACCATGCAAAACTATTCTACTCATTTCCACGTCATATCTTCATACAGAACTCTTTTGGATTTTAAGGTTTGGGAACAACACAACTTTTAAGAGATATGAAGCATCGCTTAATTTGGTAACTGCATGACAATGGATAAACACATATATGGATAAAACGCATGCAAACACACACACTTCTAGAATAAAAAGGCAAGCGTTACAGCACACTCTGCATAATGGGAGAGAGAAAATGGGAGTGGGCGCCAACCTGCAGAACCTCCGCCTGATGTCTCAGCAGCGCCTGACTGGCTGGACCCTGCTGCTCAGTCACACACGCAAACACACACGCACCCACACACATACATACCGAAAATGAAAAAGAACAGAGACATGCACACAAAGTCACAGGAAAACATCGAACTGATCTTGCAATGATACCGTGATGTGCGAAGAGCAAAAATACACATCGAAAGATAAAAACTGAAACGCTTCCGTCTAAATAAAAGCCGACGCAGGTTAGACACAGACTGAGACAAACAACACACGTAAGCTCTGGACACGACACAAGCACAGGTTGATTCATGCAGCTGAATGGTAAGAAGAACTTGACAGAAAACATAGTAAAAAAAAAAAATGGACAAAGTAAACCGAGTGTAGCATACAGAGAGCATTGATCATGAGAGAACGTTGGCAGCAAAAAATATATTTTTATATTAAATATTTATATATATATACACATATATGTACATAAATAAATAAATAAATAAATAACACACAAAGGTAGGACATACGTTTTTCTGCAGCGTCGCCTATGATGATCTTTCCGCCTCTCTTGCTGGTCTTCTCCACGGACAGCGCCGTGCTGAGGCCCTGCTCGTGCTTCCCCAGGCCCTGACCTTCTTTGAAGCCATACTTCTGCATGATCTTATGGGCCACCGTACCTCTGTGGAAGCAGTTAGGGAGAAAAAGATGGATAATTTAAAAAGTGGAATTGATTTGAATA